CGAAATTATTAACAATTAATAGCAACAGATAATTGTTCTCGACTAAGAGTTTTCCCAGTCTTTCTAACTTCTGATCCTGGTGATTTACTTCTGCTAGACGCAAACTACTTATTATCATTGATTTCATTACTCCTACTTTAACACTCTAAGTTTGATTCGAGAAGAAATTAAGAAAGAAACCCTCATTTGTGGATTTCATATACACATTCCTAGCCAGTTTGATTTCTTCTTTAATCACGAGGACATCTAACCAGCATAAATTACTGTACTTTTTTATCTTGAAAGTGAATTTCGTCGTCGTACCCAATCAACTCATTAACCGAAGCAACTCTTCCAGACTCTCTTTGCCATGCTGCCAGATAGCAAAGTAATCATCCACATAGCTTGCCAATAATATCAAAATTAGAAACGCTTTTTAAAAAAGCCGAACTTCTAAAAAAGCCATGTAGGTATTAGCTAAAACTGGAGACAAACACGATCCCATAGTTAAACTCCGATTTGCTCATACCATTCACCAAGTGAGGTGAAATATTATGTTCATCAATATCATAATTGACTCCTTGAATATCTTATTTCCTAATATAATCTCTTGGTGTTGATCTGAAACCTTCGACAACTCCATTTACCGATATATTCGCGTACATTGATACTACAGCAAAACTTACAAGCGAATCTTCCTCTTCTATTGTTTGCTCATAAATTGGCTTGATAAAATCATAGCAATTCTTTGCTACAAATTGCCCAAAACCTGAGATTTGCTTTTATTGACGACAAGTTAATTGTGATCTTTTATGCATCACACAACCGTTTTTGATCATAATGATCTCAAGTGGTACCAATTCTTTGTGCATTATTAGGCTTAGCATCGCGTTGGAGAATTGTATTCTTCTCTAACACATTGTTGAAGTCTCGACTATGGTGCTTCTGTAGGACATAACGAAATCAGCTCATGTTTGCATCATCTTTTCTATATAACTTGCTCTACCCATATCTACAACTTCTTCTTTTCCTGCATTCGAAACTATTTATTCATTTTGCTTACGCCTCTTAGTGATATTAATAACCCACTTGCTCCTATTTGGTACTTGTATTTCAATCTCATTTCTAATTTCTAATGCCAATCGGTCAATAAATTTAATAGCTTTCACGCAAAACCTCTTCAACTAAACTCTTACTATCTGTCAAAGCATAATTAAGACCTCTAAATAGAACTTCTTCGGTAGTACTTTTAAATAGTAACATGAGATGTATTCACCCTTTTTCGTTTAAGGTGATGAAAGCATGGTAGTAGAATTTCCCCACAATGCTATGAGTAGAGCTGACGTTTCCATTGAATTGTGGATGAGAACAACTTTTGGGAAAGCATGGCTATGTGAAATTCAATGCAAACGTCAGCTCTACTCATAGCATTGTGAGTAAATTCTTCTTCTACCAGTCCTTCATCACCTTAAACGAAATTGGGTGAATAGATCTCATATGAATTTATGAGTTATGTTGATGAAGGACTGATAATTGAATTTTCCCACAAGTATATGGGCAGAGCTTATTTTTCCAATGAATTTCACATAGCTTTGCTTTCCAAAAAACGCATTATCATCCGAGCGGAAGTCGAACCGTGCCAGTGCAGCCTGTAACCTCGACACGTTAACGTCTATGTCACACTGCCACGAGTGCCTTGGGTCACGGGGCAGATGTGATTTTCAAGGAAGGCCAGCCATTTTCCCATATCACATTCTTTGGTGGGAGTGTCGATGAAGCAAACTTACCTTTGCCATAACATTCGACTTTGATTAGTTTTTTTTCGTTTATAAGCAGAGTTTAGACACGACCAGTAAATCAGGTGTGTTCTCCCTATTTCGTTCTACCAGGCGATGGAAGACTGGTAGTGTATGAATAGAAAAGAGTGGTAGAGTAAAGTACCAGTCCCTCCCCACTTTAACCAAAACAGGGTGGGCATAACTCACAGTCTCGAACTACTAGTCCTACTCAAAAGCCAAACATAAACACACATCTACCGATGAATTCTTCGAAGCCCAGCTTATCTTCATTTCTAGCGGATATCGTTTGGCTGATTGAGATTCTGTCCAGGCCGAGTATCTCTTTTCACTTCTCCACGGTTGTAACGGATATAGTTTCATCCGGTGCCCACTCGAGGAGGGAGGCCAGGCGAGAAGCGTACTTTCCCACCTTTCGGCCGCGTAGTCGGCCTAAGCCGACGCTGTCGGAAGTCTGCCGACCGCGACAGAACATGTTGCCGTCTGGTCGACACCCGTGCTCGGATCGATCTGTGCCACAGTGTACCCCTTGGCCGAGAGCAGACCCGAGGGGTTACACACAGTGCTCAGTCCATCCTGAGGGCGTAACCGCCACAGATTACCACATAAGCCCTTCCCTTTAGGCCTGCACCGGGATCGTTCCTTCGACGAGTGTTCTCACTCCGTTGCCCTAAACAAACTAGCCCACACTCACCGACTCATGTGTTTATGCATGTCTATTTGGCCCACTTTCGAGGCAGGTAAGACCGGCCGACTTCATACCACGAGCTGGACAGCCAGCGAAGGCAGATGTGTTCAAGTTTATTTTCTTTGCTCGTCCATATTCGTGTCTGTCTGTATTTTTTGTATGCATGTATGTATGTATGTATGTATGTATGTATGTATGTATGTATGTATGTATGTATGTATGTA